TATATATATATATATAATTTATTTGTAAGATTATGTTGTTATATATAAAACATCATTTTCTATTAACGCAAAATTAATACAAAGATGACTGTTTAAAACAAATGATTAATTAACTGGTATTTATTTTTTATTTTATTATTTAATTTCATTTTATTTTAAACAAAAAGGCCAGTCCTCTTTTTATAATTTTTTTGTCCTTATTACTTTTTTGTATGTTATTAAATGTTAATAAACATTATTATTATTATTATTATTATTATTATTATTATTAGTGAAATAGCTTAATACAAAATGCAAACTGAAGGTGGCGCTGTTGTTAACACAAATAGCCGTATTCATGTGTCAACAAGTTTTCACTGACCAGTTTTGACCATTTGACCCAGCCCAACAAAGCAGACGTCATCATTCCTCTTTCCTCTCTCGCAGGTGTTATTTCAGTTTCTCTTCTCCTTTTTCAATACGTCTGAATTGTCATTATTTTAATAGTCTGCACTGGTGTAATAGTCAGTTTTACAGGCATCAGTGGGCACCGTTAGCTTCACGCCATCGTGTCGCGCTCATAACTCTCCTGCGTTTTCGGCTAATAACTCCTTCATGCCGCAGCAAATCAAACCGCTTTATGACTTTCCAGATAAATTTATGGCCTCGCAATCGGGCCTGTTTCTGCTATTACTTTTCATTGTGCCATAAAGAACAGATTCCCGGTGCCACAGACCACTCTTATCCAACACACTGCATTTTTTTATGAAGTGATTGAATGTTTAAACACTGATGGAGTGCCCGAGTGTCTTTAAATTTTTTTTTTACATATACATGGACTTCCTTGTCCCGTTTTTGACTGCTATGCCATCGTAATTTTTTCATAAATAAATTAATAAATAAATATTATAATAAGTAACATGTAACTGTCAAAACCATAGCAAACTTTATCAAGTAGGACAATCATGTTAAAACAGAAAAATCAAGGAAAATTATGATAGTAAAGTACAATTTTAATAAAATAAATAAATATATATGAATTAAAAGTTGCTCAAGCTTCACAACAAGCAGCACTTCAAGCTATTCACAGTCATGGTCCATGTTTTTGACTTCAGAAATACTTGTAATAACTTAATTTGTAATAACTTATTCAGTTTTGGTAAATACAAACAACAAAATAAAAACTGCACAAGATAGTTCTGCTTCTCTCTGAGACGTGATCAATAATGAAAGTCATCTATTGTAATGTTAAAGCATTTTTACAATGAACTTTTAGCATATTAAACCTCAGCTTTGACAAAATGTTCAACTAAAATCACAAAAAAATAATATATATATATATATATATATATATATATATATAAGATCGGAAGAGCGGT